GTGAGTTAATTACGGCCATGTTGACTATATAAATACCTGTGTATTATACCCGAGTCCAATAACAACTTAATATCCTAAGGGTCGTTGGTTCGATCTCAGGATACCTCTACTTTTTTGGCGTCATTATTTGACCTTCGATACAGTGACCTAATTTAACACATCACCTGCAGGAGTACTAATTAACAAGGTGTAGCGGCAGGTAACATCTCAGTGGACGTGTGTGAGGGAGGGAGGGGAGGGAGGGAGTTGAACAGTTTGAATGTTCATGGTGGTGTACAGCTGAATAGAGAGAGAGAGAGGTATATTCCATTTTGTCATTTATAAATCTATCAGCGTCAACGATGGAAAATAAAATAAATAAATATTAATTGTTCACGAATACAAGTATATTTTACCCAGTATAGTATAATATAGTGTAGTGTAGTGTAGTGTAGTGTAGTGTAGTGTAGTGGAGGATCCAGCAGTAGCACATGCTTTCAGAGAGCAGCTCGAACAAGGGCTGATAAGCAACCCAACAGCAAATAACCTAAATCCCAGTGCCGAATGGGGTACTCTCGACACTGCCATGACAAAAACCTGCAGAGACCCTCGGCCAGATCCAAAGAATACTCCAGGGCTGGTTTAATGAAAATGACCGGGCAATCAATGTACTTGTCGATGATAAACGTGCTGCTTTAACTGACTGGCAGAACAACCCTCAGTCTCGGACCAAAGCTGATACCTTCCACAAGAAGAAAGCGGCAGACCAGCGGGAACTTCTCAATTTGCACATCAACGCAAATTTTTCAATTCCACCAAAACATTTTATTAGCCAATCACTCGTGGCGCAGCTCCCCTCCGCTCGTCCGACCACTACCATTCACTGCTCGACCGAAACATACAAAGATTCGATGATTCAGAGACAAATTATACAAAGATTCGATGATTCAGAGACAAATTATACAAAGATTCGATGATTCAGAGACAAATTATACAAAGATTCGATGATTCAGAGACAAATTATACAAAGATTCGATGATTCAGAGACAAATTATACAAAGATTCGATGATTCAGAGACAAATTATACAAAGATTCGATGATTCAGAGACAAATTATACAAAGATTCGATGATTCAGAGACAAATTATACAAAGATTCGATGATTCAGAGACAAATTATACAAAGATTCGATGATTCAGAGACAAATTATACAAAGATTCAGTGAGAGAAGGAGGTACAAGAGGTCAGGAAGGCCATGAGTGACCGGGAGGCCCTCTAGTACGACAGCGAAGGAGGGCCCTCTGTTCGACAGCGAAGGAGGGCCCTCTAGTACCGACAGCGAAGGAGGGCCCTCTGGTACCGACAGCGAAGGAGGGCCCTCTAGTACCGACAGCGAGAGGCCTCTAGTACCGACAGCGAAGGAGGGCCCTCTAGTACCGACAGCGAAGGAGGGCCCTCTAGTACCGACAGCGAAGGAGGGGCCCTCTAGTACCGACAGCGAAGGAGGGCCCTCGGTACCGACAGCGAAGGAGGGCCCTCTAGTACCGACCGATATATGGCACCTGACATTTTCCTCTTTTTTTGTATTTCCGACCATTTATTTATTCCTTTTAACACACACACACACATGCTGCATCAACTCTCTCTCTCTGTCTCTCTGTCTCTCTCTCTCTCTCTCTCTTTCTCTCTCTCTCTCTCTCTCTCTCTCTCCTCTCTCTCTCTCTCTCTCTCTCCTGTACCGTGATATATCTCGTCATCGGCAGGATTGGATAGTTCCACCTCACCTGCCATTGTTCTCACTGGACAGGTAAGGATAACTCACGTCATACAGGTAAACGAGGTAGTGAACGTCTGCAATTTCTAGCCCAGGTAACATATGATTAGATTTGATTCAATTTACACAATATAATTATCTCTTCTATAAGCTCAGATAATTAATTAGAAATGTATTTAATCTCGTTGTTATTCACTATGGGGTTGAATTTATTCATTTCACTCATGTTGACTCAAAATCTTACTGGTGGACGACGAACCCAATTCATTTGAACCCACATGTTGGGTATCGGATTCCTTTCTCTCCCCCCACCCTCTCTCCTTCCTTCACCCCTTCCCCTCCTATCCCCCAGCCACCACCCCTCCTCTCCCTCTCGTTCCATCAGCCCCCAATCCCCTCCCCCATTCCCCCAACAAAGCCGCTTTGATCAGACCCCACGAGCCAATACAAGAGGATTCGAACCCTCTCCAGGCGACCGATTGAGGCATCAGATCCTCTCAATATTGAAAAGTAAGTGGCTGAACCTTCGACCCACCGGTGAAGGAAGAGGCGGGCTTATTGTCCATTATTCCCTCTGGTTCATGGTTCTGTAAGCGGTTCTATGGATGATTCACGGTCCCTGCCTCCCTACCTGCTCCTGCCTCCCTACCTGCTCCCTGCCTCCCTACCCCTTCCTCCTCCCTCTTGCTCCTTGCTCCCTACTTGCCGCCTTCTTCCCTCCTGCCTGCTCCCTGCCTCCCTACTTGCTCCCTGCCTCCCTGCCTGCTCCTGCCTCCCACTGCTCCTGCCTCCCTACCTGCTCCCTGCCTCCCTCAGTCTGCTTCCTGCCTCCTGCTGCTCCTGCCTCCCTACCTGCTCCCTGCCTCCCTCACTTGCCCCCTGCTCCCTCCTGCTCCTGCCTCCCTCAGTCTGCTTCCTGCCTCCCTACCTGCTCCCTGCCTCCCTCAGTCTGCTTCTGCCTCCCCTACCTGCTCCCTGCCTCCTACTTGCTCCTGCCTCCCTCAGTCTGCTTCCTGCCTCCTGCCTGCCCCTGCCTCCCTACCTGCTCCCCTGCCTCCCTACCTGCTCCCTCCTCCACCTGCCTGCCTCCCTCAGTCTGCTTCCTGCCTCCTACTTGCCCTGCCTCCCTCAGTCTGCTTCCTGCCTCCCCTACCTGCTCCTGCCTCCCTACCTGCTCCCTGCCTCCCCTACCTGCTCCCTGCCTCCCTCCGTCTGCTTCCTGCCTCCTACCTGCTCCCTGCCTCCCCTCCTGCCTCCCTGCTCCCTGCTGCCTCCCTACCTGCTCCCTGCCTCCCTACTTGCTCCTGCCTCCCTACCTGCTCCCTGCCTCCCTCAGTCTGCTTCCTGCCTCCCTACCTGCTCCCTGCCTCCCTACTTGCTCCCTGCCTCCCTACCTGCTCCTGCCTCCTCAGTCTGCTCCCTGCCTCCCTACCTGCTCTGCCTCCTACTTGCTCCCTGCCTCCTGCCTGCTCCTGCCTCCTACCTCTCCCTGCCTCCTACTTGCTCCCTGCCTCCCTACCTGCTCCCTGCCTCCTCAGTCTGCTTCCTGCTCCCTACCTCCAACTCACAGTGTCTCAAAGAAGCAGGAAGGGGAGCGGAGGGAGGAAGAGGAGGGCTGAGGGAGGAGGGATATTCTCTGGGACACCCTAAGCACGTCACCCTATACACGTCCTCTATACACGTCACCCCTATAAATTACCCTATACACGTCACCCTATACACGTCACCCTATACGTCACCTATACGTCACCCTACACGTCACCCAATACACGTCACCCTATACGTCACCCTATACACGTCACCTATACACGTCACCCAATACACGTCACTCTATACACGTCACCCTATACACGTCACCCTATACACGTCACCTATACACGTCACCCTATACGTCACCCTGCACCCTATACACGTCACCTATACACTCACGTCACCCTATACAATCACGTCACCCTATACGTCACCCAATACGTCACCCTATACGTCACCTATACACGTCACCCTATACGTCACCCTATACACGTCACCCTATACGTCACCCTATACACGTCACCCAATACACGTCACCCTATACACGTCACCCAATACACGTCACCTACACGTCACCCTATACACGTCACCCTATACACGTCACCCTATACCGTCACCCTATACACGTCACCCTATACACGTCACCCTAAACACGTCACCCCTACACGTCACCCTATACATCCACCCTATACATCACCCTATACACGTCACCCTATACCGTCACCCTATACACGTCACCCCTATACACGTCACCCTATACACGTCACCCTATACATCCACCCTATACGTCACCTATACACGTCACCCTATACACGTCACCCTATACACGTCACCCAATTACGTCACCCTATACACGTCACCTACCACGTCACCCTATACATCCACCCAATACACCATACGTCACCCCTATACACGTCACCCTATACGTCACCCTATACGTCACCCAATACGTCACCCTATACACGTCACCTAAACACGTCACCTATACGTCACCCTATACACGTCACCCTACTACGTCACCCTATACGTCACCTATACGTCCCCGTCACCCTATACGTCACCCAATACGTCACCCTATACACGTCACCCTATACGTCACCTAAACACGTCACCCTACACGTCACCCTATACGTCACCCTATACACGTCACCCTATACACGTCACCCTATACACGTCACCCTATACGTCACCTATACACGTCACCCTATACACGTCACCCTATACGTCACCTATACCCACGTCACCCAATACACGTCACCCTATACACGTCACCCTCATGCCCTATACGTCACCTTATACACGTCACCCTATACGTCACCCTATACCGTCACCTAAACACGTCACCCTATACATGTCACCTATACACGTCACCCTTACACGTCACCCAATACACGTCACCTAAACACGTCACCCTATACGTCTCCCAAACACGTCACCTATACACGTCACCCTATACACGTCACCCTATACGTCACCCTATACACGTCACCCTATACACGTCACCTATACTCCACCTATACACGTCACCCTATACCTGTCCTCCAATACACGTCACCCTATACGTCACCTAAACACGTCACCCTATACACGTCACCTATACACGTCACCCTAAACACGTCACCCCTATACACGTCACCTATCGTCACCTATACTACTATACGTCACCTATACACGTCACCCTATACACGTCACCTATACACGTCACCCTATACCGTCA